TTATCAACTTCTTAATAAAGCATTCAAAATAATAATATAATTGGAGATGTGTGTAACCCACTTTAGCTCGTTCAGTATGTTTTGCGAAGCATGAAGACTGCCGCAGCTGCCGCGCTACATTCTACCATGCCCATCAAGCACCTATTTGGTTTGGCACCGACTTCAAACAGACTAGAATGGACTATTGCTATTATAATGTTACCTGTTATATTGAGGGTACTTATTAGTTTTTTTACAAAGATTTTTTTTTAGTGCTCTTTGTCAGTATTGTTTGAAGTCGGTTCAACTTTTTTTTTCAAAGGATTGATCATTTCTAATCCTATGTTAATATTACTCCTAATTAAAATTGTTTCTAATGTTTAAAAAATGTCATTGATTCTAGAGACTAACCAACTAATATGAATTTTGATGAAAATTGCATAAAAAAATGAATATATTGGTATTCGGAAGATCAGTCACATGTGCATATATAAGTAATACACATTATAGTTTAAAGGCCTCTGCTCCTAAAACAAAATTAGGTATATTGAAATATAAGGAACCGAAATGTTAGAAATTTAGTCGTTTTAACAGCACGCTGCATTTTATAACACAACTGTATCTCTTTGAAGCACGTATGTTTTCATACCTTATAAGCCACAAAACAGTGTTGCCAAGTGTGGGTGTATTGAAAATAAGCTTGTTTGTTGAGGATGTTGAAATAATTCTACTAGAAAATTTTACGTCTAAGCAATGCTTCTACAAATTGAATTTCCTTTTTATGCTGCACATTTTGTAGAATAGTGTAGAGGTCATATTTTGTTACAATGTTGACTGATTTTCTTAAGTTTTTGTAAGACTAAAGCTAATGCCCAGTGTAAGCTACGGTAACCACATACTAACTTACAAAATAAAGTCAAAAAGCCTAAAACTTTAGAGCATAACACTTAAGGTTGCATCACGATTAGTTAAAAATTATTATTAAGTACAACGTTAAATAACACCGCTTTACGAAAATAATTTCTCATTTATGCTATAAAACTTTTTCACAACATTAATTACTCTATGACAATAATTACGAGCGTTGAAGCGTTTCCTCTGCACGAAGTTGAGTAAATGCTCTCTTACGGAGGCCCTATTCATTTGGAATTTAACGTGTTCGCAGTACTTCACATATAAATCTCTCCCGCAGTAATAAATAACTGCATGATTTCACGTGTCTGTTCTAAAGCGATTTAACTCGTTCAATGTGTTCATATTCACATAGCTTTCATCTGATTGCTCATTATGAGTTTACACCGTTTGCCAGCTATTGTAGTTTCAAATTAGGGACTATTGCTTTTTAACACATATATATTTATATTTGAGTTACTAGCGTTTTTTTTTTAAGAATATTAACAACGATAAGTTAAAGACTCGGGTGATACTATAGCACTTCTTCTTCTGAGTAATTCGGTTTTTATGAGAGTTTTACTATCCCTGTCTATTTGTGCCACAGCGTGTATATTCCATGATGGATCACGTTGTAGACATTAAATTACGCCTCTCAATTTAAACATCTTGAAGATTCGCATTTATAAAAGCTATAAATAACAAAAATCTATTAATTGTCTTTGATATATATAATGATATAAAATCTAAGTCTTTGTTTGAGGACAATCTCTTGTTGGCGTATCCCATATATGGTTGCCTGATCGTGAACTATATGGAGACTGTACTATCGTAATCAGGCTGCTGATATTTTCTTTATATAATTTTCAGCAGGAAACAACTTTTATTCATATAACTTTTTAAAGGCTCAAGAAGATATTTACTTTTTGGTCACATTTATAAGAAAATTATACTACTTTTTATAACTAATGTAACTTAATACATATAATACTCGTACATACATGGTACATTTACTAATAGGTATAAATGTATATATAACAGGTGAAACTCGGAGCAAACCCTTCACGGTACACTAACAAACTAATCCCTGAAAACAAACACCAACTGAGTCCACAGAACTATTATTACACAAAGCGGGCCCCTCAGGTATTCAGATCACAAACCAACCACTTTCCCAAATCAAAGTAAGACTCAAAGCAAACACTCTATGAAAATGCGATGTAAATAATAAAAAGGTATGTCGTAGAAGCCTTCGGAGGCTGTCACTCCCGCCATTGTCACCCACCCCTTCCGCGGCGGTTTATTTCAGATTCAATATGCACTAGAGACGAGAGACCATGAAAAATGGCGTTTCAGCGCCTGTTTCTAAACTGGCTTTAAATTTTTGCAGGTGTTTGCTAGTGGGGTCGCATGTGCAGAAGTTAGTGTAGTGATGTCTATCTTATTTTTTGGCTAGAAATAAAATTTCAACGGAAACCGAATTTTCATTGTATTGATTCTTATTTTTTAACAACAAAACGAAAGAGGTCTGCGCGCGTATTTATTGATAAAACACGATATATCTGTATATTGTTTTAACTGTTATAATATGCAGGCAGTCGATCATAAAATGACTAAAACTCCTTGACAAAGTCAAACATAGCCTCGACCCTAACTAAAAACGAAAAGATTATGCAGATGATAATGATGATCTAGTATTCTGTTAATTTGTACTAGCATAACATATTATAATCATTACATAAGTAATAAGTTAAGTAAAAGCAATTGTAATTTAGAAAAGTAAATTTTAGAAAAAACTAACGTTCATATGAATTAACGTATAAAAATGTTTTTAACATGTAAATATTTTTACAAAAGTAAGATACTTTAATTACCAGGGATAAAAAAAACAAAATGAGACCTATTGATAGTATGAAAGGGTTGCCATCAATCCTCTTCAAAAAACTTAACCTAACGTTCTTAGTTGTCCTTTCTTCCGGAGAATTTATGAGCATAAATTTATCACTAAAATAAAACTTTAAATTATTAAATGCTTCATTTATCTAATATTCTATTAAGAACTACATTTACAAACTATAAAAAATATTAATGCACGAATTTGAATACGCAAAATTATTAAGGAATAAAAACAATGAAAAATTGACCTATATTGACACACAAAACTTCATAGTTATGTTATGAAGTAGGGTAAGGCACGTTAGTCCAACGGCGATTTAAAATTAAAGCGAGCCCTAATTAACAAAATTTCTAACAATTGCAATTTAGAGTCAAATAACCTAGATTTATCAATTAAAAGCCTCGACGCTACCCAGAGAGGTAACAAATGTTCAAGTTCATTAGTTCTGCGGACAACACCTGGACTAAATTTACATTTACCAAATTACATAAAATACGAGTAATAACTAAAAACATTTCAACTTTGCCATAAAGTAACGAAACTTCAAGTAAACGCTTAAACTAGGACAAACCCATTCTATAAATCAGAGTACCTACTTAAATCCATAGTGAGAGCTTTTTAAAACTTTCAGTATTATTTAAACTATTCAAAATTACGTAAGCCGATTTTGGTATGTTTTTTTTTTTCATTTGAGTTTTAATAATTTAGTTTACAACTAATTTAGGTTACAATTAATCCATTCCAAAATCATTACTATTATTTTGTATATATCTGATTAGTGCTTTTATACAAAAAGATCCATTCTCTAAATTAGTACGAGTAGATATCAGTGCCGTGGCATCTCAATTAGCGATAAAAAAATATATTTTACTGATACACATTATTATAGTAAGCAGAAAAATAAAAATAAAGCTCACAAATAATCCGCATTTGGTATCAAGTCCCTAAACAATAAAGGACGCGCCAGATTATTGTTCATAAGCCATCGGTACAAATAGTTTCATTATTAATTCGAGACTATAACATGACAGGTAGATGTTCGAGTGGAGGGTGAAGCCATTGATTCCCATATAATCGGCTTTTCTATTCCATTTTTAGTTGGCATATAATTGTGGCTGCTTCCCTAGGGACGGCTGCAATGTGTACTGAGATATCAAAACTGTAGTAGGTATCTCGATATAAGTCGTCTGAATGTCGGATTTTTGAAATTCAATTTTAAATTTGGAATGGTCTCGTGGGTGGATTTACTTATTTTTAATTTGAAATATAGACGCCCTCATCTCATTGTTGTGGACAACTAACTGCCACAATATACTAAATGAGTTTCTTTAAAATCTTGATTTGCATGGTAATATTGTTTTTTTTGATGACTACTTTTGAACTTAATTGCTAAATTACCTTTTAAAACAGTTTTTTTGAATGGCTATATTTTCATCATCATCATTCAACCTTAAATAGTATACTGCTGGATATAGGCCTCCCCTTAGAAGAAATGTTTTGGCGTACTATACCTCGCTTTATTTTAGCTTATAAAATTAATTAAACTTACAACGTTTAGTGAATTTGATTAGCTAAACTTTAGCGTTTATTAAAGTAATTATTTAGAAAATGTTCCAGAATTTGGATAACTTTTTAGAATATTTACTGATAACAGTAGAGCTCAATAGTTACACGATTTCCTCTATCTACAAACCCTTCATTTTTAGGAGTCTGCCCAACTTCGACCAACACCCCATCAAGATCATTGTTAGCGATTTTAACAGCCATAACACCTCCATGGGCTATGGTGAAACCAACATAGACGGACAAGCCGTAGTAGAATGGGTAGACGCTTAGGACTTGACATTAATCAACAATTCCAAAATTCCTGCTTCGTTCAATAGCGGTGGGTGGAGAAGACGTTACAAGGACTTAATTTTTGCCACCTCACTAATACGCACACAGTGCAGTAAATCTGTGTGTCAACCTATACCTAGAACCCAGCATAGGCCCATTATGTGTATTATTCAGGCAATAATAAGACCAAATGAAGTACCCTTCAAGCGACGCTTCAACTACGCAAAGGCAGACTAGTATAGTTATACAAAATATATTGACGACTCCTTAATAAATATAAAACCAGAGCCCAGTATTACAGCCAATTCGTAAAAATCGTTGCTTCAGCCTCTCTGCGGTATATACCCAGGGGCTGCGGGAATCACACATACTCGGTGTCTCACCGGATTCGTCTAAAATGGGTGAAGAGCTGCTAGTCGAAATATCAGAAGAGCGACAAGAAAAGTGGATAAGTACCATCAACTCTATCGATCTAACCCATAGCACTAAGAAAGCGTGGTCTACTATCCATAAACTAACCAATGAGCCCCCAAAAGCTGTACAAATGGGGAGGGTTACTGTCGTCCGAAGTCGTAAACCAAGTCGCACATCAACTACTTATGAACGGAAAGCCGTCACTACGACCAAAAAGAACACCTTAACCGACCTGACCGACCTGAAATGAATCGCGCAATAAGTAGTCCATTTAACATTTCGGAAACCACCTCAGCCATAAAAACATGAAGCCGGGAAACGCACCGGGTGTTGACAACATTTCCACGGAACAACTTTTTAATACCTGTTTGGAGACAGAAAAAATCCTAGCCTATGGAGAAAGTCTAGAGTAATAAATAAATAAAGTAGAGTAATAAATAAAGTAAATGACCAGATGACCAAAAAAGCTACCGCCCCATCTCACTCCTGTGTCACACATTCAAACTGCTGGAGAGAATGCTTCTTGACCGCCTAAGTGAAATCATAGACCCGAAATTGATTCCCGAGCAGGCTAGCTTCAGACTAGGCAAGTCATGTTGCAGCCAACTTTTGAATTTGACTCAATACATAGAGTACTGTTTTGAGGCTGGAGAACTTTTGGGATCCGTCTTTGGGATCTGTCGGCAGCATACGACACTGTCAACATACGGAGACTAGACCCTGAAAGGTGGGGAATATGACTGGTGATAGCAAATTTGTCCGTCTCCTTAGCGAACTGCTGCGTAATCGAAATTTCCAAGTCCATATGCTTTTCGATAGGAGCATGTGGCGCTGCCAAAAAAACGGGCTACCGCAGGGCAGTGTTCTGGCGCCCACCCTCTTCAATATTTACTAACGACCAACTAATGTTTCCGGACACAGCCCGATTCATTTACGAAGACGACTTGGCACTCTCAACTCGAACCAACACCTTTGAGAGGCAAATTTATCAGCCGCTTTGTCCAGTCTGGGCACTTACTAAGACGAAAATAGTCTGAAACCCAATTCAGAAAAATCACAAACCTGCGCATTTCATCTGCGCAATAGACGAATGACGAAACACTGCGAATCGTGTCCTCAACATCTTCTGGCAAGGCACTTCCATTTCTCACTGCAACTACCCCAAGTACTTGGGCATCACCCTGGATCAATCGTTGACGTTCAAAATCAACTGTGAAAAAAACAAACAGAAGGTTGAGACACGTAACAACTTACTTCTCCGCTTGACATCCTCAAAATGGAGATCTGCGCCTTCAGTTCTGCGTGCTACAGGGTTGGCATTGTGTTTCTCTACAGGCGAATACGCGTGCCTGGTGTCGCAGCGATCTGCCCACGCCAAAAAAGTGGATATAGCTCAGAACGAAATGTGCCTGAAAATAACTGGATGTCTGTAGGTGACGCTGGTAGAAATGCTAAATCCACTAGCAGGCATTGCCCTCCAGCAGTCCGCAAGTCCACAGAGAAGTAACCGCCGCCATAGAAAAATAGAAACAGGAAATTGATTCAAGACACTCATTGTATGGCCAAAACCAAACCACGAAAAGGCTGAAAAGTCGAATATGACAACATTTCTGCCGACAAAAACGACGCTCCCGAGGCCAGAGAAAACATATGGCGTAATAAGTTCCCTCTCCGTGATTTCCTGTGGTGGACCTGGCAGAAAAACTACCTCCAGGAGATAAACTCCCCTGACCAACCTGGACGGCGCTTAATAGGCTGCGTACCCAGGTTGGCAGATCTAAGGACAATCTGTCAAGTTGGGAATTTATCGACCCAAGCGCAAATAAATGCGACGCATCTCCATACACAATGGACTACTTGTTAACATTTTCGTGTACGCTTGACGACTTGTATCAAGCAAGGCCAAACGCATTCGCGTCGCCGAGGATTGAGCCAAAATCATATAAAGCGATACGATAAGTAAAAAAGTTAACATTTCATATTATTATAAGTAGGTGTTAAAATTAAAATCTGAAGGCTGGATAAATTACAATCTCATAGTCTGTCTCTCAAAATTTAAATTAAAAACAAAGTTCCCTGCCACGTAAGATCTATCCAGGACAAATTGAACGCAAACATGGAATTCGGTATATATTGCATAACGAGTAGAGGCGTATACTTAACAATTCTTCATATTATTAAACTAGCTGGTGCTCGCAACTTCGTTCGCGTGGAATTTGAAAAACGGAACGAAGTGGAATCGAACCCACTAAGGCAGGTAGTGGGTTCGATTTCCGGACGGTGCAAAATTTTATAGAGTTTTTCTGAGAGAAAAAATAGTCTTAGTTACTCCTTGTATATACAGCTTTATGGTAGTAAAATATTATCAAAATCGGCCCATCGTTTTAAAGATTACCCGGAATAAACCGACAGATAGACAGACACAGACATATAGGCATAGGTATCATGCAAGTAACCGTGTAAGCATGAAAAAAACCTATTATTTTGACATTACAAACAGATAATACTATTTATTTGTACGGATTAATCTAGCCGTCGGTCTAGTGATTAGTGATCTTGACTACTAAGCCAGAGGTCGTGGATTCTATTCCCACCCAAGACGAATAATTTCAGCACCATCATTTGTTTTGGATCTAGGTATAATTTATCTATAACATGTTATTAAATTATGTATATCACTATGAACATCTCTGTTTTAAACCTAAAAATTGAAAAAACCAGATGCAAACTACAAAACTCATTTCAAATAAATTTCTATATTACACTTAAACAGCAAAGAAAAAAAACAAACAACCTGAATTTCAATTATAACAATAGAAATCGTATCTCTGTATCAGGGGCGCAAGGAAGCGTGGGAGTTGGGTCTGTGTCCTGTGTCACGAGAAATCCAGGAGTCCTCGTGCAGTAGGGGAAGGAACGACCTGGGCAACCGAGCGCTGGCCATGGGCGTTGTGGCGGATTGGCTCGAGAGGCATCATGGAACTCTCTCATACCGGTTGACGCCGGTGATCACACCGTTAAAGGATGCTTCGGAGATCACCTGTGTGTGATCAACAAGGAGCAAACACCACTGCGATAGCCGGACCGTGGACACGGCGCTCCACACGCTGGCAGAATGCCCGGCGTGGGTGGAGCAGAGGCGTTGCCTCGTGGCGGCCATCGGAGTGGGAGTTCGTGAAACTCCGCCGTCTCCTTCTGCGAGCAAGTTATGCTTGCAAAATCGTGTTAGTGTGTGTGACACGATTTTCACTGTCTATAAACTGTGTTGATAGACAGTGAAAATCGTTAAACGTTGCATTTCTGAAGGAATATTTCCTCGTATATGGGGGTGCGGTAATATTCGTATAATACCAAAAAGTGGGGACAAGCCACCGCATGATCCTAAATCCTACCGACTAATCACATTGTTACCATCGTTAGGAAAGCTTTTAGAACGTCTTGTAGTGCCCCGGCTTCTGCCAGATGGAGTCAAATTTCATGATAGACAATTTGGATTTACGTTGGGTAAATCGACAACTGACGCTGTTACGAGTATATCGGTTAGAAAGTTTGTCACAGAGTCAAAATTTCAATACGTGCTGGCTATTTTCTTAGATATATCTGGCGCCTTCGTCAACGTATGGTGGCCCATGCTTTTGCTGAAATTAAAATTACGGGGGTGCCTTAAAAATATTTATTCCCTTATCTCTTCGTACTTTTCACAAGGTACAACTAAACTAAGACTTGGTCATCATTCTGTGTCGAAGGCGCTTACAATGGGATGTCCTCAGGGATCGGTACTAGGTCCATACTGGCTGGTGGAATATCGGCTACGACGATTTTCTTGCGACAGCAAAACCATCCGGATGTACTCTGAACGCGAATGCTGATGACGGTTTATTACTGGTGGAATCTGATACTAGGGCGGGGCTTGAGAGATTAGCCAATAGATGTTTGAACCTGATATCTCAATGGGGTGAACGTAATCGCTTAACTTTTGCACCCAACAAAACCTTCCAGCTACTTTTAAAAGGTAACCTCAAATCACCGCCGATCATTAGATTTGACAATGTCACTGTAAAAAATAAAACAGTGTGTTATTTAGGATTAGTTTTAGAAAGAAACTTTTCATTAAAATTTATCGAACATATTAAAATAGTTAATAAAAAGTAGTGACGGATTAAGAATACGGAATGTCACTACCCCAATTCATCCCGTGGGTGTCGTAAGAACCGACTAAGGGCGCAAAACAACGCAGGACACTAGCACTGCAAAAAGACGGAAAACTTGACACAAACCCTATACCAACCCGCCTGGCCAGCGTGGTATAGTAGGCCAAAACCTATAACAAAGGAACAAAGGAGAGGCCTATGTCCAGCAGTGGACTATTAAAGGCTGTTGATGTGTGATGTGATGTGAATGAAAAGTCTAAAAAGAGTTTCTGTGCATTGACAAGGATATCAACTGCGACATGGGGTCTATCATTTAATACATTAAAGATCATATACGGAGCTACTTATTTAGGTTCTATGTGCTATGGTGCACCTGTATGGGCCGATAGAAAATCGTAGGCGCTGTTCGTCGCAAGACTGTTACAAGTCCAACGACTTGTTGTGCAAGGCATATAGGACGATTAGCACTGTGGCTTTGCCGGTGTTGGCGGGTGTGCTACCGGTCGATCTCGAGGTGCAGAGACGTGCAGCCATGGTTGCAAACAAGACAACAAAACATGGAATGGGATTTTTTGGGTGCGCGGAATCGTGGTAAAATTACAAGATTGCTTCAACAGCAGTCCGATGTCTAGAATGACCTCATAGACGAATGGCAACAACGTTGGGACGAATCATCCAAGGGGCGCCATCTTTACCAATTCTTTCCATCTGTTGTCGAGGACATGGCTTGAGGTGGATCACGGGTCATGGTAACTTTAAGAGCAAGCTGTATTCATTTAAATTAATCGAGTCACCATTGTGTCAATGCTCAACACCTAACTCTCACTATGAGCAGTCTGCTCATCATGGATATGATATGATATCTGGGAATGTAGTCTTTGGTATAATGAACGTAATATAATGCTGAATAGCTTGCACGTGACATCTGGGGCGGTATACTATGGGGATCTTGTGTCAACTAGGGTGAATTTCCGTGCGATTAGGCGATTCTGCCATACATATTATAGAAATCAAACATAGTTCACGTAGGACCCGTAATATTTTGTGGCCCTGGTGCCGTGGTGTTTAAAAGGGTGTATGCCTATTTTACTTCATTTTG